CAGGTTATTTCACTTTGTACTTATGCTCACCTTTTTTTGTTTAATCCACTCAATTTGACTTGTTTCTGTTTTTTTTTCTTTTTGTTCGATAGGATTCTAGTTCTTCTGAGTAGCATTTGATTGCTTCTGTCCTCTTGGAATGTTTATTTGGTGTTTGATGACTGCTAGGCTTATTTATTGTCGAAAGTGCCTTTTCGATAAGTTGTTTTATTTGTTGATGTGGAAATTTGCATAAAATTTCAAGTACAATTGTTTGGTAACTTTTCACTTTTGAGACCCAATTTCCTCTGGCACCATACTTACAGATTCTTGCAATTGTTGATACAATGTTTTTAGTGGCCTTTTTGTAGACCTTAAGCTTCCAACAACATATGTAACCAAAGAATGACTGAAGTGGTTTCTTTTTAAGATACTTCGTTCTCAACATTTCAGCTATTTGAAAAAAGTGTCCTGCATGTCCTGTCCTGCATGTGGTACCATGAACTTAAGACAGCAAACAAACACAGATAAACTCCAATCTTTTCCAGTACTTTCTGCTCAATATTCTGAGTTTATTTCCTAGTAGTTAGTCAGATAGATCCTTGACTTGATTTCTGTTCGTGGAATGGGGTTCACCTCCTCTTTTTTGTGTATACTTGTTTCATATTGCTTTTCTATCTCCATATTATTTGTATGACTGGAAAGGTCTGCAATTTATCTTTTGCTATTTATTTCCTTGCTTCAGGCCAGTCAATGTTGTTTGTTGGAAGCGTGCAATTTGTTTGGAGTTCATGGAGAAGGTTTGACTACTCTTCTCTTTTACGTATTATGCATAAAAATATAGAGAATTTATAGTTCCAAGGGGGTCAATTTCATTGGGTGGTTCTTATTGAAAATATGTTTAGAAGATGAGAAAGCTATCGTCTTTTTAGGAAATACAGAAAATATGTCCAATTAGCCAGAGTGAAAAGCCAATTGTGAATGCCTAAATGCTATGGCATTAGCGGCCCAAAGTGCATACTCTGTCAAAATATTTTAAAAAATCCTTGAAATTCTTTGTTTTCGTAAGAAGTGAAATATCCCTCAAATTGGTATGGATAAATAAAAGAAAGTACAATAACAAAACTCTTTTGAAGGAGTGCACCAAGAGGAAGCCAAAAGAATCTCACTAAATGAACAACTTAGAAAATCATTATTGGTATCATAAAGAATTCTTTTGTTCCTTTCCAACAAAATCTTCCAGAGCAATGCTTTAGCTTCGTATCCAAAGGATCCTATATTTTTACTTATTTTGAAGAAATGAACACAGAAGAGCTGCTCTATAAACTTCTCCAACCATTGCAAAAAGCAATATCCCATTCTAAAATTGTCAGATACTGTACTCCACCATCTATTAGAGAAATAGCTTATGAAGAGGTGGTCTGATGTAGTTACCAGGTTGTTTTTAAGTTAGTTTATGGTCGGCTAGTAAACTGTTAGTTATCAACCAGCTGGGTAGGTAATTTAGTTTTGTTAACTAACTTGTGTAACCAAGTTGATTAGGCCAAACCGATTGTATGAGTATTATAAATACTTCTGCTTTATTGTACTAGGACATTATTCATGAGAAATAAAAATTCAGAACTTTGGTTCACACCTTTATTTTTTATAAATAGGATTGGTTTGGGAACCATTAGGGTTTGGCTCAATTGGTCCAAGGAGGCAAAGCTAAATAAAAGGATTTAGAGGGAATGAGTTCAAACTCCACGATGGCCACCTACATAGGAATTAATTACCTATGTGTTTCCTTGACAACCAAATATAGTAGAGTTAGGCGGTTGTGTCGAAGCTCGGGCAAGCTGACCTAGACACTCAAGGTTATCAAGAAAATCAGGATTGGCTTGGGAATGAAAAGCCTCCATGGTACCCAAAAGCCACCTTCATACACACAAAACACCACGGCTTCTTTGAGACCTCATTCCGGATCATCTTAGCCTCAACCAGTACATACTGTTAGGAAGGGCCTTTAGAGGTATTTAGGGTTATTGATAAAATAGTAAGGGTATGTTAGTAATTAGACATGAAGTTGTTAGGGAAAGTTGTTACAAATAGAATGAGGGGAAAGGGAAGAAGGTAGGCAATTATTTAGGTGGTTTAGGTTTAAGGAGATAATTCTTGAGAAGGAGAGTTCTTGGCCTCTCGAAGTGCCAAGGAATTTTGTGCTTCGTCCCCGTTTTGAAGTGATTACTGAAATATACTAAAGATAGACCGTTTGGTTCCTATAACAAACATCCTGGGATCCTTTTAGAAAACCTTTGATGGATTTATGAGAGAAAACCACTGGTAACACCATGCACCATATTGAAATCTTATCTTAAACATGGCATTTTCAAATTGTATTTGTAATTTTATATTTTTTATGAAAAGCAATAAGTGCTTGTGCTGTCAAATTTTTAGTTTTGTATGATGTGGATTCGATACTTTTCGGAGAGACAGATATTTAAATGGTTCTTCAAGATTTCCCATGTCAAAAGTGGTCTCACTATGGTATTCATTTATAGTATTGACTTTCAGAACTGAGAGGTATGAACTTAATGTTAGAATCTTTAGTTGATCAGTTTTATCTAATATAATAATAATACTTGGTTCGCTCCTTGAAAAATGTATCAATTTTAAATCTTGATTAGGGATTTCAAAAGGTTTACATGACAGTTTGCTTTTGTCAATTGATTGAGGTTGATCAAGAAGTTGAGTCTACTGTAAATGTTAGAAACGTATGTTTTGGTGTCTTTATCTTAAACCTTTTTGGCTTTTCCAGGCTGATGTGTTGGAATACTATGACCAGACTGTGAATTCTCCAAGTGGATCCTTCTATATACCAGCAGTCTTAAGGGTATGCATAAAGAATATATCCGGTTTATTCACGGATTTTTTTTCATAGGATTGTTATATGTTATCTGTCTTTATGTCCATGACCAGGAGAAGTTCAAGACTGACTTCATCTTTATGACTTGAATCTTTTCCTTGTCGAAGGCCTTTGAACTAAATATTGTCTCTCCTTTCAGGTTCCTCATTTATTGCAAGTTGTAAAAAGAAGAAGAATCAAGAACTCTTTAAGTCGTAAAAACATACTTTATAGGGACAATTACACTTGTCAGTAAGTTGATAAATATTCACTATCGATTAGTTTTGTTCAATTTATCATTTAAAATTGATATGGGAGAAGTTATTTTGAGATGCTTTGCTAAGTTTACGATGGAGAAGCTTGTGTTGCTTATATAAGCATTTTAACTATAGTTTCATTAAACATAATTTGCTATTTTAATTGTATTGCTATTTTTATGACGACAGATGGCACGCTCCACACTTTTGTGCTCTTTGCTAATTGAAACTTCTTAAGATTCATGTATAGTTTGTGATCATTGGGGATAGTGAACACAGTGGCTAGGTTTCAATATTGGGTTGTACACTAATTGGAGGAGGTTTCTTTGACATTTGAAAATGGAGGTCTGGGTATTGACTTGAAGCGTAGAAACGAAGCCTTATAATCTAAATGGGTTTGGAGGCTCTTGACTGAGTTTGATCAGTTTTCGCACAAGGTAGATTGTAGTATTCAGGGGAAGAGTGGGGAAGATTGGTTCACTCTTCAAAAGAGGAGGGGTGGCGGAAGAAGCCTTAGGAGGGATATTTGAAAAGGAAATTACTTGGCTCCTTACCGGCGAGAATCAAATCTTGTCCTCACCACCATTGAAAAATTGACAGCTCATTATTTTTTTGATCAAGTCTCTATTTTTACATGTTGTCAAACATTTAGTGGTGTCAAGGACAAAATTAAGCCTCATTAGTAGGAGCCTAAGTATTTTCCTTTAAACAATGAACTTTCTTAGATAACTCAAAGATGAAAGAGGGCAATAGCCTTTTCGGAAAGAAGAAAAAAATGGTGCAATGGAAGATTGATTAGATTCTGCTCCAATTCTTTTTAGTTCTTATTATTTTCTGGCAAAGGGTGAGTATTATTCCCATCAAATGAAATTTTTATATGCTGGCTTTTTTTCCTCTCTTAATTCTTTTTGTTGCCTTAAATGATTCTTTTATCAACAGGTATTGTTCATCACATGATAGTTTGACGATTGATCATGTTTTACCCATATCCCGGGGTGGAGAATGGACATGGGAAAATCTGGTGAGTTTTCCAGTAGATATTAATATTGGATTACAAATGCTAATCTGAATTTTCATTTTGCCATAATGATTGAATTTTTCAATCATCCCTTAGAAGACGTGATCCTGATTCCATAAACATAGAGATGTCCAGAGGTTTTCTAGGTAATAAAACAGAACACAAAAAACCAACCAAATAACCTAATAATAACAGTAGAAAGGCCAAATTGGCAAAAGCAATCTTAAGTTTACGCTGAACAGGCCACCCGCTACATTTTGACTTCTAAGACCACATAAATATATTGATGTAGGGGAAATCTGTGAGAAAGAGCTTACCGGTTGGGTAGGTTATTTGTCAGTTAGTAACCGGTTCGGCTGATAATGTTCAGGTTAGTTAATGGCTTGTAAGTTAGGCTTTTGGGCTTACAAACCATTCATAACCGTACTACCGTAGTATGAATATCCCTGTTCTCTTGTAATTGAGACAGTCATAAATAAAGGTTCAACATTTGGTAAATTATTCTCTGGCTGTAGTTTTTGGGGATCAAATGATCGGGAAACGGGACTTACCGAAAGGAGTTGACGACTCTGTACTTACGAAATTGTACTGTTTTCTATCTTCTCTAATATCTTATGTTGTGATAGGTTGCTGCCTGTGTGAAATGCAATTCAAAGAAAGGTCAAAAAACTGTAGAAGAAGCAAATATGAAGCTGAAAAAGACTCCCAAGGTAATATAATATGTTCTGTTTATAATGACCAAATGAATAGTCGTATTATGACAGAAAGAAACTTTCGAGTTCCTTTTTTTTTTGCTATGCTTCATCATGATTATGTTAGGATCAGATGGTCCAATTCATGCTTATTGTCTTTTTACCTTAAAATTTTCAGGCCCCAAAAGATTATGATATACTTGCCATCCCTCTAACAAGTACTGCAATAAAGATGTTGAAACTGAGAAAGGGGACCCCTGAAGAATGGCGTCAATATCTGTCGAATGAGCAATGACATGTATTTATAGTGGCACTTGTAAATTCCTCTTTGCACATATCCCATGAATTGCACATATCATTTATGTACTTAATTCTTCCAACACTCTTATGGCACCTTAGAAGTAATTTATTCTATCTCTAATTCCATGGGTACAAGGAACCGACCCAACCCGAAAAATTGCCATGAACCAATTCAGTCGTTCTCTTTCTGCCCGAAAACCAACCCAACACTACCATTTTACACCCCTATCTAAATCCCACAAGTATTTTGTATTTTTTTTTTTTTGGTTCTACACATCACTACTAATTGATAATATACAACTTGATTTTAAGGACCAAAGTCGTCACAAATTTTTTTACTTCTTTTAATAGGGTTACATTACACTCCCAGTATATTATCAATAATCAAATCATCAGTTGATTAAAATGGTTAGTACTCAACTCCTTGACAAATATTTTATTTCATGCCTTTATCCTCTCAGGATTAATAGAAGTGTCCATCTTATCTCTTTGACAAATGCCTTATGTCCCACACAACATCATGTTTAAATGGACCAAAGGTAAAATTCCATGTTCATTTGTTCATGGACAATGATTCACTTGCAAAATGAGTACAAAGGGAGTGACAATATATGGAAATGAGGGATACATTTTCAACCATCCACAAAGTAGTTGTACAATATTCCCTACAAAAATGCAAATCCAAAGTTGATCCTATTAAGATCAGTTATATTTTCATAAACAAAAACTCAAATTAACCAAACCTGTACTATACAAGTTGATTTAGATTTTAAATGTATTTTGGTTGATTTAAGCTCAAGTAAATTGATTGGATTGAAAAGTTGAAAAATTATTTGGAAATATGAAAAGTGAAACAATTGGAGTCAATTTCGTCAATTCATTTCGGTGTTCAAAAAATAATAGACTATGGAAAAATCCAATTCATACAATCCAACTGTTCAATTGAGTTGGATCATCCACTTGTTCATATTGGTTTCAATCCAACTTCACGAGTCAAAATAAGTTAAACTTCTATAGATTGCATTGATCCACAAATCTCGTTAATATATATTTTTATACTTTTGTTATAATTTTTTTCAATGACTCAGAATTAGACATGCTCTTTAGCTTCTTCTATTATAATTTGAGAGACCTCTATCTACCCCATGGCTCGGACTCAAGAGACGAAAGATTTTTAGTATTAAGTTTATCCAAAAGTTAGAACACAAGACTTCATGGTAGGTAATACCACAAAATCCTATATCCTTACCAACGTTCATTATAATTAGTTGAAGTCCTGAAATATTGTCCAATATAAAATGATATAAACTACTTTTTATCCACCGGAGATAAATAGATTCTTGAACTTCTACTTTTAATCCTCTTTTACACAACTCTAAAATACATGACCTAAACCGTATAAACTAATGCAACCCAAATACTAAATAGTTGAGTCGAGTCCAATCACCTAATCAATACTCCTCAAGTTGGACATATATACAACCCGAACACTTCGACTCAAGTCTAACAAAATACCTCTCAATCTAACCTAACTCATAATTGCACAATCATCCCTGGAAAATTGTACTTCTAGTTTTTTCTTTTTTACCAAAAAAAATAAAAACAAACTTTTGATTGATAGACAAAAAGGAAAATTTCTAGTTGTGATGTCGACCTTCACTACTACCCTCATCAGCATCTTCGAAAGCCAAATGGTACAACCTCATTTCATTCAGACAGCTTTCTTCTGGACATGCTTCAAAATTGGAAGATTATAAATAAGAGATGTTAGAAGGTAAAACTTTGCCCCTCTCGATGAAAAGTTTCGGCTCCGCCCTTTCTGTGCATGCATAAACAACATTAAGGACTCCAATAGCTCACAGCATTGATACAAACATGCCCGTCGAGGACAGCATAGGCTTTATACTGGCTCAGTGGTACTAGAAGCAAACATTTAACTCCCCTTGGCAGCTCCCGGATTACGCCCAAACTGGATAATCATTGGCTTGCCTTTGAATACATAACCATTTACTAGATTCTGCCAAAACAATAAATTCGGCATATTAGATATTTAATTCATTTTACTTGCACCGCAAGAATAGAGCGACCCAAACACATAATTCTGCAGCCTTCAGGTATTTGAAATAGCCATTCTTGAGGACTCCAAGCCAAAGAACAAGCAAAAGAAGCAAGATGATAAAGAGATTGTAGAAAGAACGAGAGAGCGACTGCATTAGTCCATCCATCCTCATGAATAAATACGAATCAACAGATAAGATAAAAGTGTTTATACCAACTATGAACCAGTTGCATAGAACACTTAAGTTGCATACAACTCCACCTAATTTGTATAGTCGCCTACATTATCCGGTGAACATATGATGGTATAGTATTCTTGAACTAGGAGATGACAAAGAACCATAATATTTCTTCTACACCACACACTAGGCCTCCTGTCTCTTCTAGCTTTCTTTTATTATATTGCAATCAAACATGTAAAAAATGAACCGTTACTCCATAAGGCAGGTTTGCAGAAATTTTTGGCATTTGGATCAGTGGTTATCAGAGAAACGATATCTTGGTTGTTTTCTTTGGCGGTTCAGTTGGTCTTTTTGACAAAAGTGTTTGTTTTGGGGGCAACACTTTTTCTTAGAGTGGAAGAAATCAGATTCTTGTTTTTATTTTGTTCTGCGGTTATGCCTTGTTGATATCAAGAAGGAAATTCCTTCTAGTTTGGAGTCGGATGAATTTTTTCTGGGTTGCAATGAAGTGGAGTCCTCTTTTTGGGTCGTTGTCTCAAGGGAAAAGCAAGTCATTGGTGGATAGTTTCTGTCCAGCCAAGTTTAAAGCATCCTTTTGAAGTTTAAAGCATCCCTTCGAGATTTCTAGTTTTTCATCCTTTTTGTTATCTTGTTTTGGGTGGCTTTTGTTGCTCCCATTTAATTCTCGTTCGTTTTAATTACTCTCTTTAGGAAGCTTGTCTCTTTTAGTTTTTCTCTCTCAGCTCCTCCGGGAGTTTGTATCTTTGAACAATTTGTTCCTTTTCATACTTTCAATGAAAAGTTTGTATCTTGTTCAAAAAAGCAAAAAAAACATTACACGAGTGGAATTCTGGTTATTGACGGACCATCAAGAGGATTTATGATCAATATTCCAAGTGATCGTTCAGAAAAAAATTAATGTAGATTGAAAGAATTAAATACATACCAAAGCATGTTGTGCAAGTTCAATAGATGGAAATGTTACAAAGGCTTGGCCCCTCATTCTTCCCTCCTGAAATTCAAAATAAAAATATACTTTTAGAACCCTAGGTCATGATTAACCTGCAATCAAACGACCAATAATAATTTCTTTTTTTTCTCAAGAAAATAAAAATACATCAAAAGCCACATTCTGCACACCATATAGTTTATTGAATTAAAAGGTGCAAAGAAACGAAAGGCATGTACATAAATTAGAGGAACAAAGTGGTTGGGTGATAAGGTAAGTGAACTCCTGCTTGATAGCCTAGGTTGTATTTAATATAAGTTTTTTCTTAACTTTGCTGACTGCCTTCTTTCTTTCTTTCCTTCCTTTTTTGCAAAGGATTTACATACAATTTATATGTTCATTTGATAAAAGCTGATATTACACTCAGATATTTGTAAGACTTTTACATGCTAATAGGACTATTTCTCCCTTCCTCATCATCAAACTTGTAGGGAAACGTCCCCAAGCATGGTTAGATTGACTGATAAAATTTATTTGTCTTCATATACTTAATCCTTTATTTTGAGTGTTTCATGCTTCATAATATTAGAATTTCAAGATGCTTGTGTTTTACTACTTTCTATATATTGGAAAAAATTAAGCGAAATTTTTTGTGGGAAGGGGTGGAGGAGGGAGGTGGAGCGTATTTAGTCAGTTGGGTTATGGTTTCCAAATCGTTAGAGGCAGTTGGCCTAGGCATTGGGAACTTGAGGCTTCGAAATGATGTGCTTTCGGCGGCTTTGGAGGTTTTTCCATGAGCCTAGGACTTTATGGCGGAAGATTATTGTGAGTAAGTATAGACCGCACCCCTTTGATTGGAATTCAGATAGAGGGCATAAGGTTTGTGCTAATAACTCCTTGAAGGCTATATCCTCAGGCTTTCCTCTCTTTTCCCATTTTGTGTCTTGTATGGTTGGAGATGGTTATGATACTTACTTCTAGGAGGACCAGTGAGTGGGAGAAAAGCACATTTGTTCTTTATTTCCACGTCTTTTTCAATTATCAGACAGAAGGTTGCATTCGGTGGCCTCGGTGCTAGGCTTTGGGGAGGAAGGTCTTTCTATTTCCTTAGATCTCAGTCGGTCTTTAACTGACAGAGAGTCTCGAGAAGCGGGTGAGTTGCTCCATCTTCTCTCTGATGTCCATTTCTCCCGGGATAGGAAGGATGTTCGTGTTTGGGCCCCTACTCCTAGGGGTTTCTCTTGCAGTTCCTTCTTTAAAATTTTGTGCTCCCCTAATCCTTCCCCGGCTGCCCCTGTGTCTGCCTCCCTTTGGAAAGTAGATATCCCATGTTTGCCTCGCTTTGGAAAGTAGATATCCCAAAGAAGATTAAGTTTTTCGTGTGGCAGATCTTATTCAGGAGAATCAATACCCTGGATTGTATCCAGAAGCATACTTCTTCCTGTTTGAGTCTGCAATGGTGTGTTCTTTTGCAAACAAGCCTCTGAGAGTCTTGATCACATGTTATGGCATTGAATTTTTGCCCAAAAGATTTGGAGTCAGTTCTTTGAGATGTTCGAAGTTTCTTAGGCCTAGCATAGAGATTGGGGGGCTATGGTGGAGGAAGTGCTCTCGGCTTCTCCTTTTCGTGAGCAAGGGAGGTTTTTGTGGCAAGCTTGTTTCTTTGCGATCTTGTGGGGAATTTGGTTGGAAAGGAACAATAGAATTTTTAGGGGGAGGGTGAGAGATAGCGAGACAGTTTGGGAGCTTGTGAGATTTAATGTTTCTTTATGGGCCTGTCTCAAAGTTGTTTTGTATTTATCAATTAGGTCAGATTCTTTTGGATTAGAAGCTCTTCTTTAGATAGTACTTCCCCTTGTCGGGCTCTTGTTTTTTTTGTGTGCCCGTGCTTTTTTGTATTATTTTCATTTATCTTATCTTAATGAAAAGTGCAGTCCTATCAAAAAAAAAAAAAAAAACCCCTATTAAAATAATGACCAAAGTAAGATTTGGTGGTAGACAGGAGTTGACAAAGTTATATTAAAACATCAATCTTTTCTGCCACTCACAGGAATGTATAGCCTCTCTATCGAGTGTGGTGAACCTGAATCAACTTATGCAATCTTGAGAACCGCATATTTAGATCATCTACAAGCCTATATTTTTTTCTAAGATTTCCTTTATTTATGTTTGTCTTATCTTTGTAAAAGATGATGCCCAATAAAGCATATGAGGCAACTTTGCAGATGTTGCTTTTATGTTCTTCAAGTAATCAGAGAAGAAACTATAATTCTCGGTTATTCAAAAAATTCTCATCAAACTGTAGACAGAGACAACAATAACAAACCTGCATTAGCTTCACAGTGAGAGCAGATTTGGCATCATCAATACCTCCAAATAATGATCCTACAAAGTACAATTTAAAAGCACATATTAAAAAATAGAACCTCACGTTGAAAAAGATAGCACTATAGAAGATTTTACAACTTTAAGCATTAGACCTAAAAGGGTAAGGCATTAGAAGAATATGAGAGTACAGTGCTCTACCATAAATCAAAACATTAATACAAAAACAAATATACAGGCCTATTCCTAGGTTTACAAATGAGGTGCCATTTAACTTGTGATTAGTTTTCCATTTTGGCAATCTTCAGATTTACAGCTGGACTAATGTAACAAAAAGGTCTGATACATAATTTTATCTAAGACAAGAAAATTGCTTTTTCCCAAACTCTTAATTGAGTATTCTTTTGCCAACACCTCTCAATTTTGTAGCTCCGAAGCCATCCAAAAGACCTTCCATACACTCAATGTATCTTAGGAGGAGAAAGAAGGATGGCAGGCTCTAGTTTCAAAGAAGAAATCACATAAGGGTGAAAAAGAATGATTCAATAGGCAAGGAGTAGTTCGGTAATTTGGTCATGGTTGTCGCATGCACTTGTTCTCAAAACCTTGTATCATGAGATAAAATGTAGTAGTTTAGTATTCCAGAATATTTTCTTTCCTACTAATGATATTTTCAGGCTGAACATAGAGGATTTATTCCATTCTCAATTTGGTTCTCTATTTTACCCCTAACATATTAAAATTCTCAATTAGGTCCTGTCAAAAATTATTAAAATTTGTTAACAAAAAGTTGATGTATCATTAAATTATTGTTTTATTCACGATGTCACTCAGATACTACCTAAACATAAAACTCAACTTGTCCATCAACAAAATCCAACCTGCTGATTAACAAAATTTATTTTTTTCAAGTGGCATGTGCACCGCCCACGTGTCCAAATATATTAATAAGACAATGATTTAGTGTCCCATTAACTTGACAATAAGTCAATAATAAATTTCAACAATTTGTTTATAAAATGACATATTTAAGATTTTGGAAAAAATACACTTTCGGTCCCTGAAGTTTGAAGTAGGTGTCTATTTGGTCCCTGAAGTTTCAAAATGAACACTTTTGGTCATTAAAGTTTGGATTTGGTATCTATGTGGTCCCTGAAGTTTCAAAATGGACAATTTTGGTCCTTCAAGTTTGATAAATAGTTCTAAATGATCCCTAGTTTGGATGACATGGAAGCTTAGTTGCAGGCAAAATATATTTATTTAATAATATATTGTTGGACTTTTGTTTTTTTATTATTGTTGGTTTTATATATTTTAGATAATTATTTTAATATTTAGTCTTTCCTTTTTTATATAGGAATTCATAGTTTCCTATATTTTATGTAATTAGGAGTTTATGTTTTAGTTTCCTTGTTAAGGAAAGTTTCTCACCTTTATTTAAAAGGTGGCTAGGGTTTTATTTTCTTAAAATAAGAAAAACAATAATATTTTTTCTTCTTCTAAAATTGACTTGGTATCAGAGCCAAGATAAACCCTAACCCTAACTTTAAACCTAACCCTATTTCTAGCCACCCTACTGTTACCACCCACGGGCCACCGCTGCTACCGCCATAATTGTCGCCGCCCACTGCCATCTTACCGTCGCCGTCCAAGGGATCGTCGTCGTCGTCGCCATCTGAAGGATCGGGTCGCTCTCACCGCGCCGTCTTAAGGATCAGAGTGCCGACGCCGTCTACAAATCCGTTCGTCGCCGGGATTTCGCAAATTAGTTAGCCGGTATCGTCTGTGGGAAACTATCAAGGGTTTGCGGATCTTCATGGTTCAAAAGTTGAAGTTCGTCGCCAGATTTTTCTAGCCCAATCGCCGATTTCCGTCCTCAGCCATCGCCGATTTTTCGTCTTCGCTTCTGGAGGAATCGTTGTGCTGCTAAGGTTTGCTAGGGTTTGGCACATCTGTTGGTCCAAATTTCTGGTTCAGTCTACAATTTCGGTCCGATCCTGTTTTTTTCTATTCGATTTGGTTCAACATTTCTGGTTCGGTTTGGGCCAGATTTAACCTTCCTATTGCAGGTTACGTTTCTGTTTTTTTTTTTCCTTTTTTTGTGGTTCAAATCAGTAGCCATGACGGGAGAATCTTCAAAGAAAACAGATTGTGACTCTAAGATTTCTGAAACCCGGTTCAATTCCTCCAGTCACCCTATCCAAATTACTAGTATCAGACTTAATGGAGATAATTTTCTTCGTTGGTCTCAAAGTGTTCGGATGTATATTCGTGGACAAGGTAAAATTGGCTACCTTACTGGAGATAAAAAAGCACCGGCGGCAGAAGATCCTTTATTTCATACCTGGGATGTTGAAATTCTATTGTAATGACATGGTTAGTTAACTCTATGGACGAGGAGATCAGTGCTAACTATATGTGTTATTCTACGACAAGTGAATTATGGAAAAACGTAAATGAGATGTATTCTGACTTAGAAAATCAATCACAGGCATTTGAATTGACACTAAAACTCAGAGAAATACGACAAGGAATCGATACAGTTACAAAATATTTTAATTCTTTAAAGAGAATTTGGCAAGACCTAGACCTTTTTGATACTCATGAGTGGAAATCTTCGAAGGACTATAAACATCATCAAAAAACTAATGATCGAATTTATACCTTCTTTGCCGGTCTAAATGTAGAATTTGATGAAGTCAGAGGCAGAATAATTGGTAGAAAACCACTTCCAAACATTAATGAAGTTTTTTCTGAAGTACGACATGAAGAAAGTCGTAGGAATGTTATGCTCGGCAAGAAAACTACAAACAACACGATCGAAGGTTCTGCATTGGTGAATGAGGCAGTTGCTAATAAAGCTTCAAATCATCATAATAAAGGGAATGAGAAATCTCGTGTTTGGTGTGACTA